ATCTCATTTGTCTTCAGAACACTGTTCATTTACTAGTCCCAAGGGGCAATTTTTGAAGGTCTTGCACAAATACTTAAGATCTTTGTGCAATTAGTTTCTTTGTTGAATCAGTGAGATGAAACATTGAACTCAAATGAAAAATTATGACATAACCAGAGAAAAATCATTAAAGGCATATTTTTACCTCTCAAAACTAGAGAATTTTGGGGATTGTTAAAAAAAAAATTACTTATACAAGTGAATTTTTTGAGAAAATTATGGGGAGATTATTCAAACATTATAAGAATAATGAACATAACAAAATTTACTTATATAAGTATATTATTATTTACTTCTTCAAGAAAATAGAAATAACTTGACTTTACAAGTAGTACCCTTGACTGATATAAGGAGTTGTAAAAAAAAAGACATTGTACTTAATATATACAATGTAAGTAATTTTTTGGAGAAAATTAAAGGGAGATTATTCAAACCTTGTTGAGAAAAGAAAAATCTTACAAGTTTACTTATACATGTACATGTATCAGTAAATATAACTAACATAGATCTTCAGATAAATGAACATGACTTGTATTTATAAGTATTACTCATGACTGTCAGTTGTTGTCTAAATTGTGCACCGATAGCTAGATCTTTATCATGTTTATGAAGAAATGTCTGATTATCATGATTATCATACCAATTAAATTTTACTTAAATACAGGGATTATACCAATTACAGGACTGTCACAAGAGTCGTGACTAAAAAACATAAAAAAATTTGGTGTGACAAGAAGAGAAATATTTCATTTGTGAAGGAAAATCTAATCTTTTACATTATTTCTATAGATATTTTCTTATACAACCTAATTAATAAAGACATGAGTTTGAACAATGTTGGTTAATTTTCAAAATACCTTATAAAAGTGCGTTTTATTTGAGGCATTTTCATGATAACAATGGATAAGTTGGTAAACATTTTTAGGCTGTAAGAATTTTCCTGGAATAATTTGCATGAAACAGACTACAAATATTGATTTACAGTTATCTCCCATTATACATGTACACTGTAATTATTTTTATAAATCTCAGCTTAAACTGAGTTGTCTCTCTTTAGTAACAGTTTTGTACATGTTGTAAGCTAATTTGCTTTCATCTTAAAATTGAGAATGGAAATGGGGATATGTCAAAGAGTCAACAACCTGACCAAAGAGCAGATAACAACCATATTATATATTATAAACATTGTACTGGGTCAATACAATTGTTTTCAATATTTTATTTTTAAACAAATACAAAATGAATATATAAATATACAAAATAAGTATATGACCATCACTGGAAGCTAACCAATCAAATTTTCACCCCTTTTGTATCCTGGAATAATTTGCATGAAACAGACTACAAATATTGATTTACAGTTATCTCCCATTATACATGTACACTGTAATTATTTTTATAAATCTCAGCTTAAACTGAGTTGTCTCTCTTTAGTAACAGTTTTGTACATGTTGTAAGCTAATTTGCTTTCATCTTAAAATTGAGAATGGAAATGGGGATATGTCAAAGAGTCAACAACCTGACCAAAGAGCAGATAACAACCATATTATATATTATAAACATTGTACTGGGTCAATACAATTGTTTTCAATATTTTATTTTTAAACAAATACAAAATGAATATATAAATATACAAAATAAGTATATGACCATCACTGGAAGCTAACCAATCAAATTTTCACCCCTTTTTAGCTCACCTTTTTAGCCCATCCAAAGGGCCAGGTGAGCTTTTCTCATTACTTGGCGTCCGTCGTCGTCGTTAACTTTTTACATTTTGAACTTCTTCTAGAGAACCACTGAATGGAATGAAACCAAACATAGCATGAATGCTCCTTATGAGGTGCTGACCAAGTGTTGTTACTTTGTAGCGGATCCATCATCCAGGATGGCCGCCAGCGGGGGACTTAGTTTAACATAGGACCCTATGGGAAATACATACAAATGTCTTCTATTAGATAACCACTGAATGGAATGAAATCAAACATGGCATGAATGTTCCTTATGAGGTGCTGACCAAGTGTTGTTACTTTGAAGCCGATCCATTATCCAAGATGGCCGCCAGCGGGGGACTTAGTTTAACATAGGACCCTATGGGAAATACATACAAATGTCTTCTTTTAGAGAACCACTGAATGGAATGAAACCAAACATGGTACGAATGTTCCTTATGAGGTGCTGACCGAGTGTTGTTACTTTGAAGCCGATCCATAATCCAAGATGGCCGCCAGCAGGGGACTTAGTTTAACATGGGACCCTATGGGAAATACATACAAATGTCTTCTTTTAGAGAACCACTGAATGGAATGAAACCAAACATGACATGAATGTTCCTTATGAGGTGCTGACCGAGTGTTGTTACTTTGAAGCTGATCCATCTTCCAAGATGGCCGCCAGCGGGGGACTTAGTTTAACATAGGACCCTAAGGGAAATACATACAAATGTCTTCTTTTAGAGAACCACTGAATGGAATGAAACCAAACATGGCATGAATGTTCCTTATGAGGTGGTGACCAAGTGTTGTTACTATGAAGCTGATCCATAATCTAAGATGGCCGCCAGTGGAGGACTTAGTTTAACATGGGACCCTTTGAGAAATACATACAAATGTCTTCTTTTAGAGAATCATTGAATGGAATGAAACCAAACATGGCAAGCATGTTCCTTTTGAGGTGCTGACCAAGTGTTGTTACTTTGAAGCTGATCCTTCATCCAAGATGGCCGCCAGATGGGGACAATGTTTAACAAAGGACCCTATGGACAATACATACAGATGTCTTCTTTTAGAGAACCACATACTGAATGGATTGAAACCAAACATGGCATGAATGTTCCTTATGAGGTGCTGACTAAGTTTTGTTACTTTGAAGCTGATCCTTCATCCATGATGGCCGCCAATGGGGGGACTTCCTTTAACATAAGACCCTATGGGAAATACATACAAATGCTTCTTCTAGAGGTGCACTGAATGGAATGAAACCAAAACATGGCTTAAATGTTTCTTATGAGGTGCTGATGAAGTGTTGCTACTTTGTTGCCGATTTACTGTTCAAGATGGCCACCAGGATTTTTTATTAAATTACAGGACCAATTTTAAACCAAATTTGGTCTCACTCATTATTAGGGTATCTGTTATGATTTTAATCTATTTTTACATGATTTCCAAAACCAAAGTAGAATCAGGTGAGCGACACAGGCTCTTGAGAGCCTCTAGTTATATATATGATCGCAAAAAAATTGCGTTCCTATAACATGTATAATGCCATCATGTCGCTGTCGTTTGAAGACACGTTTGGTATCCCTACAATAACTTTAGTTTAAGCTAATGGATCTCTATGAAAATTTACCAGAAGGTTCAATACCATAACAGAAAAAGACAACTCTACACAAGAGACCAAATGACATAGAAATTAACAACTATACATTTTGTAGGTCAACATATAGCCTTCAACAATGAGCAAAATCCATATCGCATAGTCAGCTATAATAAGCACCAAAATGATTATGTATACATTTTAACAGGGTGATCTTAATTTCTGTAAAGGAACCAACTTTATACATGCTTTAGGAAAAATTTTAAAAATGTATTGCAATATATACCATGCATACAGGTGTATTTTTGTACTAATGTCTACATGGATAATATTGAAAAAATACATGTTCTTATAATTTATTAACCAATGGATTTGCAAAAAAGATTGAACAGTTACTTGCTACATTAAATTTTTCACATGTTTGGGAAAAACATGATACTATTTCAAAAAGGCATTTATTATATGCACTTCATACCAGACTTAAAGATAGATATCTTAATTATTGGAAAGAATTTATATTTTGTGATGATAAATCATTGCATGGTAATAAGCTCAGAACATGCAGAACATATAGACAGATTAAAGGAAATTATAAATTGGAAACCTATTTAGTGTTAAGTATTGACAGAAAAGTAATAGGACATTTTGCCAAAATTCGCATAAGTAATAGTGTTCTTAGAATTGAACAAGGTCGTCACACTAAAACTCCGTTAGAAGAAAGAATTTGTCCTTTGTGTCTTTTAGAAGTAGAAGATGAATTTCATTTCACTATAAAATGTACAAAACTAAATACTATTAGAGATCAATTGTTTTCCAAAATTAGTGAAATAGTTCCCTCTTTTTTAAATATGACTAATTAAGCAAGATTTAAATTTCTGTATACGTGTGGTGAGACTGATATAATTAGAATTATTGTAAAATTCATAAGCGACATGTACAATTCTAGAAATGCTTTGTTGAGTATTAAATAACTTTGTGGTACCACCTCCTCTCAGAGATTATATACATTCATTATTGTAACAATATTTTCTTTTAATAATAGCTATATATATATATCATGCGTTGTTTTCAATTTAGACTTGTTTATATATACATGATATATATACAATGTTTATAAATGTGGTCAGATATATGTTTGTATGTTTATGTATAACCAATGTTTTTTGTTTTGGTATCAATCCTATAATTTTGGATTTTAAACCAATAAAATATCTTATCTGATCTTATCATGCTTATGTTAACATTATAAATTATTATACAATATAAAAAAGCAGATGACATCTGATGTGGAGTATACTTATACTAAATGTACTAGTCTGGTGTGGATCCAGGATTTTAAAAAAGGGGGCCCCATTGTCAAATCAATGTTTGGAAAGTTTATGCATATATCATATACATGTATGAAGCTCCATAAAGGGGTGGGGGTGGGGGAGGAGGGGGGGAGCAACAGTTGTTTATCTTTTGTTTTTTTTCTTTTTTCTCAATGGCATTATCAGTTTATTTTCAACAGACAACTCATGAGTTTGAATGTCCCTTTGGTATCTTTTGCATCTGTTTTAAAAAATAAAACAAACTTACATGTATATGAGTAAAATTTGAATTTAATCAATGTATAATGATGAGTTGTGTATGTTTTTTCTTTATTTTAGATGAATACAAGATATAGGGTGTACATAATAAAGAGACAGTAACCATGGTAAACCAACAGACATAGATTTACAAGATATATAAAGGTCAGCATATATTTTGCATGTCTGGAATAATTTTGAATTCTAAAATTCCAACTAAATAGGGTTAGCCATAAGCGCATGGTTAAGGTTGATTTCACTTTCACTGATATTTCAGTATGAACTAATTAACTCCCCTTAGCCATGCACGCATGGTTAACCCTATTTAGTTGGGTTAGTTTTCATCAAATTTTTCCAGAATTGAAAAATATTCCAGATTCAAAGGGTTTTTCTCATGATTGAATGCCGGATTTACTGTTGCCTTTTATTGCTTAAATCCACTTCATTTGACCTTTGGTGGATACTGTGAAAGTACTTTTATTCGTGGGGTACCAATTTTCGTGGTTTTCGTGGATGGCTCTATCCATGAATTTAAGTGTCCATGAATTATAAGAGTTGTTGTCGAAATCAAGACATGTAAAGATCCCCATGTAGGTTTTTACATGGATACTGGCATATACTAGAGAATACATCGAATATGGCAAAACGCACTATGAACTATTTTTTGTTTATATACAACTGCAGGCAGGCTTTTACCATGTTTACCCATGTAATCTTTAAAAAAAAAACTAAACAGTATTAAAGACTTTTAACCTTTTAAATCTAATTAAAAAAAATTGATCGATGAAAGTCAGATTTCTGGTAATGATATGCTATATCTACTCATACAGTAAAAAAATAATTTCATATTGGAATTAAAATTAATTCTAGAATTCAAAATACATTTATGCACTTGTTTATGTAGCCTTTTTCTTTGAGGAACATGTTTATGACCAAATTAACACCTTTGATGATTTTTAATCTGTCAATCATTAGATCTTGGGTTAAATATATATATACATGATATATATAGTGTCATCACTTCTGATTACACGTGCACGTGTACAACAAAATTCAAATGTTTACTTTGCAATTTCCTTCAATCGAGACAATTTGTCATATATGAATCACCTTAGCTTATTTATGAAAGCTATTAATTTATTAAAAATTTGTTGAATGTTGTCAGTTATGAAAGACGAAAAAGTAAGTGAATAAACACCTTATTTTGCAATGTCCACAAATCATATATATAATTATAAAACTACATTTGAATATTATAAAAAAATCTTCATTTCTGTTTGCTTCAAATTCTTCTCTCATTTTTTTTTCCTTCAGAAAACTAAAATCCCTGAATTTAAGTGTCCATGAATTATAAGAGTTGTTGTCGAAATCAAGACATGTAAAGATCCCCATGTAGGTTTTTACATGGATACTGGCATATACTAGAGAATACATCGAATATGGCAAAACGCACTATGAACTATTTTTTGTTTATATACAACTGCAGGCAGGCTTTTACCATGTTTACCCATGTAATCTTTAAAAAAAAACTAAACAGTATTAAAGACTTTTAACCTTTTAAATCTAATTAAAAAAAATTGATCGATGAAAGTCAGATTTCTGGTAATGATATGCTATATCTACTCATACAGTAAAAAAATAATTTCATATTGAAATTAAAATTAATTCTAGAATTCAAAATACATTTATGCACTTGTTTATGTAGCCTTTTTCTTTGAGGGACATGTTTATGACCAAATTAACACCTTTGATGATTTTTAATCTGTCAATCATTAGATCTTGGGTTAAATAGTGTCATCACTTCTGATTACACGTGCACGTGTACAACAAAATTCAAATGTTTACTTTGCAATTTCCTTCAATCGAGACAATTTGTCATATATGAATCACCTTAGCTTATTTATGAAAGCTATTGATTTATTAAAAATTTGTTGAATGTTGTCAGTTATGAAAGACGAAAAAGTAAGTGAATAAACACCTTATTTTGCAATGTCCACAAATCATATATATAATTATAAAACTACATTTGAATATTATAAAAAAATCTTCATTTCTGTTTGCTTCAAATTCTTCTCTCATTTTTTTTTCCTTCAGAAAACTAAAATCCCTGAATTTAAGTGTCCATGAATTATAAGAGTTGTTGTCGAAATCAAGACATGTAAAGATCCCCATGTAGGTTTTTACATGGATACTGGCATATACTAGAGAATACATCGAATATGGCAAAACGCACTATGAACTATTTTTTGTTTATATACAACTGCAGGCAGGCTTTTACCATGTTTACCCATGTAATCTTTAAAAAAAAACTAAACAGTATTAAAGACTTTTAACCTTTTAAATCTAATTAAAAAAAATTGATCGATGAAAGTCAGATTTCTGGTAATGATATGCTATATCTACTCATACAGTAAAAAAATAATTTCATATTGGAATTAAAATTAATTCTAGAATTCAAAATACATTTATGCACTTATTTATGTAGCCTTTTTCTTTGAGGGACATGTTTATGACCAAATTAACACCTTTGATGATTTTTAATCGTGCACGTGTACAACAAAATTCAAATGTTTACTTCGCAATTTCCTTCAATCAAGACAATTTGTCATATATGAATCACCTTAGCTTATTTATGAAAGCTATTGATTTATTAAAAATTTGTTGAATGTTGTCAGTTATGAAAGACGAAAAAGTAAGTGAATAAACACCTTATTTTGCAATGTCCACAAATCATATATATAATTATAAATCTACATTTGAATATTATAAAAAAATCTTCATTTCTGTTTGCTTCAAATTCTTCTCTCATTTTTTTTTCCTTCAGAAAACTAAAATCCCTGAATTTAAGAACCCACCCATATGTAACTTTTGCTCAAACCACAAAAATTGATACCCACTAATTAAAGTACATTCACAGAAGTTGTCTGATTGGCAATCATACCACATCTCCTTATTTTTATACGACCGCAAAATTGTCGTATATTGGTACATGTATGACGTTGGCGTCGTCGTCGGCGTCGTCGTCCGAAGACACATTGGTTTTCGCACTCTAACTTTAGTTTAAGTGAATGGATCTCTATGAAATTTTACCATAAGGTTCAATACCACAAAAGGAAGGTTGGGATTGATTTTGGGGGTTATGGTACCAACAGTTAATGAATTAGGGGCCAAAAAGGGGCCAAAAATAAGCATTTTTGTAACTTCCAGACATAACTTGTGTGTTAGTGTATGGATATCTCCGACATTGTACCACAAGGTTCCACATCACAAAGAGAATGCTGGGATTGATTTTGGGGGTAATTGCCTCAAAATTTGAGGAATTAGGGGCCAAAAAAGGGGCAAAAAACAAGCATTTTTCTAGTTTCATGACAATAACTTGTGTGTAAGTGTATGGATCTTTCTGAAATTGTACTACAAGGTTCCATATCACAAAGGGAAAGCTGGAATTGAGTTTGGGGGTAATTGCCGAAAATGTTTAGGAATAAGGGGCCAAAAAGGGGCCAATAATAAGCATTTTTCTAGTTTCCAGACAATAACTTGTGTTCAAGTGTATGGATCTCTCTGAAATTGTACTGCAAGGTACCATACCACAAAGGGAAGGCTGGGATTGATTTTAAGGGGGTAATTGCCTCAAAATTTTAGGAATTAGAGCCAAAAAAGGGGCAAAAAACAAGCATTTTTCTAGTTTCATGACAATATCTTATGTGTAAGTGTATGGATCTTTCTGAAATTGTACTACAAGGTTCCATATCACAAAGGGAAAGCTGGGTTTGAGTTTGGGGGTAATTGCCCTAAACGTTTAGGAATTTAGGGCCAAAAACAAGCATTTTTCTAGTTTCCAGACAATAACTTGTGTTCAAGTGTATGGATCTCTCTGAAATTGTACTGCAAGGTACCATACCACAAAGGGAAGGCTGGGATTGAGTTTGGGTTGATGAATCATAAGGGGGTTCAAAAAATTTGGGGGTGGGGATTTTTTCTTTCTTTTTTTTCCTTTTTTTTTCTTTAAAATTTTTCATTTTAAATTGGTTATTTCTGATTTATATATCATGTATATAAAAGCAAATAATAATGATATGGTTTGAATAGGTAAATTAAGAATTTTTAAGTTCTTAGACCACATTCATTCTGTGTCAGAAACCTATGCTGTGTCAAATATTTAATCACAATCCAAATTCAGTGCTGTATCAAGCTTGAATGTTGTGTCCATACTTGCCCCAACTATTCAGGGTTTGACCTCTGCAGTCGTATCAAGCTGCGCCCAGCGGAAAATTTTATTTTACTATTTGAGTATATATATACATTGTATTATGTTATTTTTGTATAGCATGAATAATTTTTGATGTTTGCCTCTGCAATAGAATATTCATTCATTCATTCAGCATATCGTCATGACAGTTCTTCAACAATATAAATGAATAAAATAAATAATTTGTTTGTTAAAGTGTTGACATGAGATTAAAAGAATTCATACACAATATACATGTACATGTACATAAATATTAAAACAACTGATATCCAGCCAAAATTCTGACTTAGGAGACACTTTATACCAAATAACTACATATACATGTACATGTAAATGTAATTACTAATAAAGATAGCGTAAAAAATAAACTTAAAAAATGTCATGAATGTCTTTTACACAAAAGAAAAAACCTAACCATAAACATGATAAATCTCTTATGATAAAATATATAAAACATTTAATCATACAAAAATGTAGATACATAGAAAATGTGAAGCTTGAACTCAAGCTCCAGAAATACTCATTTCCATATTCAATTTTATCAGTTACAGACTTACAGTAATTAATTAAATTAATTAAATATGATTGCTAAATATCAAGAGTAACTGCCTCAGGTGGAAAATCCTTCTCATCTTTGATGTTTTGACACATATGCATTGCCTTTACACACAGGTAATTGAATTAAATATGGTAAAGTAAAGTTAACTGACAAATAAATAAAGGATGTAAAATTATATGTACACTTAACATTTGCTTAAGACACCGTAAATTGGTACCATTATTGATATAAGACAGAATATGTATATTTACATGTAGATTGTCATGTTCACTATAATATAGAGGTAATATGTAAAGTACTTTTTTCTTTAAATTTTAGGTCAACCTTGAGCCCGTCCCTGTATATTTATGAAGTGTACCCCCCCTTACAAACCCCGACCTACAAAAAAAATTGAAATAAATTTTTTTTAAATTCCAATATATGCCATTCATTTTTTGTTTTTTTTCGATACATTGAACTCTCATTTTATATAAACAATTTTCTTGTCTCAGGTTAATTTAAAACATTAAATACTTAACAGGCGGTATGGACACTTTTGTTCCAGACTGGATGTTGACCTTTAATATGTCATTTGACTAACTGTATATTACAATGGTTATAAATGACAGAGTCATGAATCAGAGAGTTGTCACTCTAAATCACTAGCAATCACTCAGTTTCAGAGTGAATCACTCAACACCAGCAAGGGTGATTTTTACCTGACAAGACAAGAAAACGCTGTTCCTTTGCTGAGTGTTTTTTGCTGTGCAATAAAAAAGTATAACCTGATAACAAATTTGTCAAAAATATGAAAAATACTGAACTCCAAGGCAGATTTGATTTTTAAAAGGGGAAGTCCATAAAAACTGACAAAATCAAACGCTATCAATCAATAGAACTTTTTTTTCTATTATGTGTACTGTATAATAGTTCTATCTAATAGTTCTACAAAGTTTTTATTTTTATTATTTTTTTTTTTTTATTTGCAGCTTGATTCCAGAGCAGGATTTCTGAAGGACACCAAACAAAGAAGTCCTACATAATATAAAGAATTTCCAATGGAAAGTAAGAAGGATAATGGACTCAGTATTTATATCAAAACAGAGCCAAATGACCATGGCGATTACCTTCCGGAAAATAAATCTGAAAATTTTGCATGTTCGAGTTACCATGGTTATGCTGAAAAGAATAGGATAAGTACAGGTAAAAGACCAGAACATTATGAATGTGACGCCTATAAGGCTAAATATCCGTCTGAAAATAACACGATTTATTCTGAATACAATAGACCAAATTTAATACGAAAAGATGAACATGAATATGATGGTTTTCAACTTGAAAAAAGATCAGAAACTAGCACAGATAAGAATAACAGGGAAAAACCCAGACTCACTATAAATAGACAGAAAAGTCCAAATGAATATGATGAGTTTTTGTCTAAAATAAGATCTAAAGCTGATGAATATATGAATTACACTGAAAATATCAGAACAGATTCAAGTGTAAGACTTAATGAATATGACCAGAACCAATCTAAAAATCAATCTGAAACTGTTGCCGTCGATTACAGTCTGGTACAAGATATAAAAGAAGAACCTGTTGAGGACGACCATTGCCTTTCTGAAGCAGAAATTAAAGATGCCGGGTACATGCATCAAAATTTAAAAATAAACCGAGAAAAACCTGATCAAAGTAGAATATTCATTGAAAATACTGAAAATGGAAAAAGACTTAGCTTAAACTCAGATACCAAAGATAATCCTGATCTTGTGAGAAACAGAGCATACAAAGATAAAATGATGCACATCACCGATAATCCTGGTGCGACTGATTTAGATTTAAACAAAGAGATATTCAAAGCAGTTGAAAGAGAAATTCGTGAAAATACTGGTTTAATGAACAAGGAAAAACAAGCACCACAATTCTTTAATACAGGCATGACACAAATCAGTGATGAGCTTCAAAATAAAGGAAACCAAACGAAAGATGACAAAAATTGTGATCCTATTGACAAACCAGGATTCAGAAATTCTGACGATACGTTAAAGTATTATGCCAGGACGTGTACAGACATAATCAATGCATCAATAGCGGGTATTATAAACTCTGAAGCTACAAAAAAGTGTAAAGATGGGGGACTGAAAAACAAAAGAAAAAGAGGAAGTCAAAAGTTCAATTCAAATACGAATTCAGACGAACATGTACAAAACAGTGAAACGAGTGAGGAAAGTATGTATATTATCAACAGTTCGTCACCCGTGTTTCCAAACACAGCTGATCAGACAAATCTTAGTGCACAGACTAAATCAGCTAATGGAAAATCACCGTGGATTTGTCAAACATGTGGTAAAGAATTTTTGCATTTCTCACGTTTAAAGACACACACGAGAACGCATACTGGTGAGAAACCATTCATCTGTGGAACATGTGGAAAGAGCTATGCCAGTGCTGCGAGCCTGGCCAATCATGTGAGAGTCCATACTGGTGAAGAATTCACTTGTAGTACATGTGGAAAAACCTTTGTAAACCCAGCAAATCTAAAGTTGCATATTCGAACGCACTCAGGTGAAAAACCATACATCTGTGCTACATGTGGCAAAGCATTTGCTCAGTTGGTACATCTACGGTTACATGATAGAACCCATACTGGTGAAAAACCATTCATCTGTCAAATATGTGGAGTAGGATTCAGTCAAGCATCAAATCTGAGGTATCACAAGCAGACGCACACTGATGAAAAACAATATCATTGTAATATTTGTGGAAAAGGATTTAATCGGCCTGATTATCTTAAAGATCATGAACAAACACACTCAGGTGATAAAACTCATGTCTGTTCGATATGTGAAAGAGGATTTAGTAGGCTCAAGGATTTTCAGGCCCATCTTCGGACTCATACAGGTGAGAAACCATATATCTGTCACATATGCGGAATAGGCTTTTGTCAGTCTGGAAATCTTGCATCTCATGTTCGAACGCACAGTGGCGAAAGACCATACCCCTGTACTACATGTGGAAGAGAATTCAATCGCTGGTCGAATCTGAAGTCACATGTTCAAACTCACAATGAAGAAAAACGGTTTAGTTGTGAAATATGTGGGAAAGGATTTAACCGCCAAGATCGACTGAAGAAACATGGTAGAACACATTCAAACGATGAAAGTTTTAAATCTTTAGAGGGTATGGAGGATGATGTGAAATCTGACACACCTATGGAAAATGAGGATCTAGAAGAGCCTGAATTTCACCTGAAATATAACGAAAAATCTTCAGTAGACATGGGCAGTGACCCAGAGGTTGGAGATAATCTGGAAAATGTCAAAAGATCTGAAGAGAATTTGGAAAAGGGAGGCAAATTTACAGTTAAACTTTGGAAAAACCAAGAATTTTCTAAAAGTTTCAATGATCATGGTGTTCAAAGATCTGCAGAAAGTGTGAAAAATAATGGAAAAACTGCAGAAAACATGATAAATATTGACAATGAACATGAATTTAGAGAAAATTTGGAAATCAATCGAAGATCTGAAGAAAATGTGGAAAATAATGAAAATTCTACAGTGGACATGACCATAGACAAAAAACTTAAAAATTATGAAAATATTGGAAAATCTGCGGTGAAAGTGAAAAACAATGGAAAATCTGCTGAAAATCTTGAGAAAAATAAAAAATCTTATGAACACATGGAATATTCTGGGAATTCTTCAGAAACCTTGGAAAATAAACACAAAACACCACTAGATGTTAGAAATAATGAGAATTCTGAAGGACAGGATGAGACTGAAGTTAATTCTATGGAGTATGATGGATATTTATGAGTTTGGTGTTTCAGTATATGTATATAAGCCTTAGAATACCTATATTAGTTAGAAAATTACAGTATTTGTAATTGCTAAAAAGGGAGCTGGAAAATGATTGCTGGAGTGCAGGATTTGCTACTATAAACATGATGAAAACCTTAACTGTATTATTATTATATATATATATAGGACATGTATGAGAAATTCTAATAGAATAGTTATATAGATAGGTTTCGAATGAATTTTCTTTAGTTTAAGTTACGGGTACTTCCCTGGGCCAACATTTTGGAGGCATAAATATTTGATAATCTGATTTGACTATAGCTAACCAAATTGAAACATAAGATACACACAAGTCTGATAAGATATTCTTTATACTAGATCTTAGTAATGAATTAAGCAAGGCTTACAGAAACAAAATTTGTTCATGAAATTGCTTTTTCTCAAGTCTATTGGTCAGTATTTGGCTGATTATGAAGGAATTTTGTGAACTTAACCAACATGGTGACAAAAGGGAAGTAACTCTTGCTCAGTTTGTGTCAATCTAAACCAAAATGTAGTGTTACTGTTTTTTTTATTATTCACCACTTATGACAATGTATGAAGTATATATATTATGATTATTAAGGATGTTAAGGTATACAAATGGTTATATGCAAGGTGATTTACATAAAAAAAACATGTAGTTAAATGTCACTTTTAGCATGTTTAGTGGTGAATTTTGACTGGGAATGCTGGTGATTGTGGATGATTCACTCTCAAGTACTGTTAATTCAGAATTCAGTGCAAGGTTTTTTATTAATGCAAATTAATAATGCGACCCCGGTTGCAGGGGCGGATCCAGAATTTTAGGTTAGGTGGGGGGGGGGGGGGCGCAAACTTAAAAATTTTTTGGAGGTAAAATTATCAAAATAGTCTTTATTAAGCTGAGGAGGTGCACTCGACTCCAATCTTAATTGACTAGGATTGTCAGTTTTCCTATCGAAGGTTGGTGGTTTTCTCCGGGCACTCCTGCTTCCTCCACCAATAAAAACTGGCCGCCACGAAATAGCCCAAAAGCAGTGCTTAAAAGTAGTGTTAAAACACAAAAAATTAAATCAAATAAAGCTGAGGACAACCCATGCTTTGCAAATTTTAGGGGGGGGGGGGGGGCGCATGCCTGAATCAGCCCCTGGGTTGAGTATTGCAAAAATAAGAACTCACATTCTGAATTCAATACATATATATATCCCTATGCAGATTTTCCTGAAATCGCATTAATTACCATCACTGTTTTGTCCATTCTTGAAAAATTGCAATAATAAATGCAAACAATAATTTCTGCATGCATATGAACATGATGAAAGAGTTGTAATTAGCATTATCAATTTAAATAACCAATGATCACTCTGTTTCATTATGTTCTTATTCATGTTAGTGATCATGAATCACTGAACACCAGCAACAGTGATTTTTATCTGAATCACCATCATGACCATATGAGTATTATACACCATATACTCAGGTAATATACATGAGAGTCTGGATGGGGTCCTTTATTTCTGTATTCTTGGCATATTTTTATATCTTTAAAAATAAAGCTTATTCTGTAAAATTCTCATGCAAATGTCATGAAAAGGAATTTACTATTAAAATTATCTATTATTAGATGATTTCTAAATTCTGTACATTCATGACATTGTTCATTTCTGTAGTTAACATTGTATAACGTAATTGTTTAATTTTCCACAGTTATCAGTCAGGGGACTTACTTAAATGAGTGATTTTCTAAATCACTGATTCAAGTAACATTATGTCCATAAAGGTTTGAAGTAAGAGTTGTCTTTCTTTAATAATCACCTATTTAAGTAGTACAAATTAATCACTAGACTAAGTGATTTAATTTTATTGTAACATTAAATATAGAATACTAATGATCCAGGGACTACATGGACTAATTATGTTGCTAAAATTATCAGAACCAACATCTGTGTTGATAGGATGACCGGGTCATGTCAGGTGATGACCTTGTACTAAATCTAGGATAATGACATAAAAATCACTTGTTTAAGTATTATACCTCAATTTCCTTCCAAAAAATCACTTCTTTAAGTATCATTATTTTAATAACCCCCACTCATTTCAACACCCCCCGAACAGTGAAATTTTGATCGCGAACAGTAGAATTTTATTACATAATCTATAAGATGAAACCTTGAATTTTACAGGAAAAATACTCCCACTGCTGGGAAAAATCTGTTAAGAAAGTATCAGTTCATTATGAAAAGCCATTTTTATAGCATTTTTATACGACCGCAAAAAAATTTTTGTGGTCGTATATTGGTATGACGTTGGCGTCGTCGTCGTCCGGCGTCGTCGTCGTCGTCGTCCGGCGTCGTCGTCGTCCGGCGTCGTCGTCGTCCGGCGTCGTCGTCCGGCGTCGTCCAGCGTCGTCTGAAGACACATTGGTTTTCGCACTCTAACTTTAGTTTAAGTTAATGGATCTCAATGAAATTTTACCACAAGGTTCAATACCACAAAAGGAAGGTTGGGATTGATTTTGGGGGTTATGGTAATAACAGTAAAGGAATTAGGGGCCAAAAATAAGCATTTTTGTAACTTCCAGACATAACTTGTGTGTTAGTGTATGGATCTCTCTGACATTGTACCACAAGGTTCCATATCACTAAAGGAATGCTGGGATTGATTTTGGGGGTAATTGCCTCCAAATTTTAGGAATTAGGGGCCAAAAAAGGGGCAAAAAACAAGCATTTTTCTAGTTTCATGACAATAACTTGTGTGTAAGTGTATGGATCTTTCTGAAATTGTACTACAAGGTTCCATATCACAAAGGGAAAGCTGGGTTTGAGTTTGGGGGTAATTGCCCTAAACGTTTAGGAATTTGGGGCCAAAAAGGGGCCAAAAAACACATTTTTTTCTAGTTTCCAGACAATAACTTGTGTTCAAGTGTATGGATCTCTCTGAAATTGTACTGCAAGGTACCATACCACAAAGGGAAGGCTGGGATTGAGTTTGGGGGTGATGAATCATAATGGGGGTTCAAAAAATTTTGGGGGGGGGATTTATTTTTTTTTCCTTTTTTTTCTTTTTTTCCTTTTTTGTTTCTTTTAAAATATTCCATTTTAAGTTGGTTATTTCTGATTTATATTAAAATCAAATAAAAATGATATGGTAGGAGATACACACCAAACAGGATGTGTAAATTATTATATAATAAGTATTGTGCAATAGCAAGAAATTTTCAATTGCACAGTATTGCACAATAGCAAGAAATCTTCAATTGCACAGTATTGCGCAATAGCAAGAAATCTTCAATTGCACAGTATTGCGCAATAGCAAGAAATATCCAATAGCACAATATTGCGCAATAGCAAGAAATTGTCAATTGTACAGTATTGCGCAATAGCAAGAAATATTTAATAGCACAGGATTGTGCAAAAGAAGATACTTCCTATAAATTGCTTATTTCTTGACCAATTTCAATGGGGTTTTATTCTTGATTTCATGGGGTTCTTTAATATGCTGAATCTGACCGTGTATTTAGTTTTTGGATTTTGGGCCCCGTTTTTAAATTGGTCCACATTGAGGTCCAAAGGGTCCAAAATTAAACTTTGTTTGATTTCATCAAAAATTGAATAATTGGGGTTCTTTGATATGCCGAATCTAACTGTGTATTTAGATTCTTAAATTTTGGTTCCGTTTTCAAATTGGTCTACATTAAGGTCCAAAGGGTCCAAAATTAAACTTAGTTTGATTTTAACAAAAATTGAATTCTTAGGGTTCTTTGATATGCTGAATCTAAACATGTATTTAGATTTTTGATTATGGGCCCATTTTTCAAGTTGGTCCAAATCGGGGTCCAAAATTAAACTTTGTTTGATTTCAACAAAAATTGAATATATGGGGTTCTTTGATATGCTGAATCTAACCATGTATTTAGATTTTTGATTTTTTGGCCCCGTTATCAACTTTGTCCACATTGAGGTCAAAAGGGTCCAAAATTAAACTTTGTTTGATTTCATCAAAAATTGAATTCTTGGGGTTCTTTGATATGCTGAATCTAACCATGTATTTAGATTTTGGATATTGGACCATAATAGGTGAATGTCCAATTTAAAATTTTTAAGTTCTTAGACCACATTCAATCTGTGTTAGAAACCTATGCTGTGTCAAATATTTAATCACAATCCAAATCCAAAGCTGTATCAAGCTTGAATGTTGTGTCCATACTTCCCCCAACTGTTCAGGGTTCGACCTCTGCGGTCGTATCAAGCTGCGCCCTGCGGAGCATTTTATTTCAATTAAAATAGAATTTGCTGCTTAAAAGAAGCAAAAAGTTCATGTTTTTCAATTTTACTAATGAAAAGATATTATCTAAACCTATGTGTTTAAAATTTTGGTAAAACTACAAAATCACAATTTGTGACAAAACTTCGAATTTGCTACTTAAATAAGTGATTTAAAAATCACTTATTTCAATAAGTCCCCTGACTGGTTATGACAATTACAGGGGTGGATCCAGGATTTTAGGATAGGGCACAAACTTTATTTTTTTTTAGGTAAAATTATCGAAATATTCTTTATTAAGCTGTCGACAACTCATGCTTTACAAATTTTAGGGGGCCCACGCCCGCCACGCCCCCACCTGAATCTCCCCTGAATTATTGGTTATTCGTTTACACCCCATATGCATTATCCTCTATTCTTTATATTTTTTGCTCGTTTTTCTCTTTTCATTGTTTTTTGGGCCATTATTCTCCATTCTGTAAACCCCATCTAGACCCTCATACATGAATATATATGCTAAGATGCTTCAAAAATAGTTTGTATTAATTTACATGATTTGACTATACCTTTATACATTTTATAACTCCTGTTGCCTTTCAATTTCGGATTGCTTTATACATTTTTTTAATAGCAACCTCAATGTCTTTAAAATTTGAATGATGTCTGCTGTTGATGACTGATTAAATTAAAAAATTTTCATAAAGTTTAACATGAAGATGAAGTATTTTTATATGACTGCAAAAAAATTTTTGTGGTCGTATATTGGTATGATGTTGGCGTCGTCGTCGTCGTCGTCGTCGTCATCACACATTAGTGTTCGCACTCTAACTTTAGTTTAAGTGAATGGATCTCAATGAAATTTTACCATAAGGTTCAATACCACAAAAGGAAGGTGGGGATTGATTTTGGGGGTTATGGTACCCATAGTTAAGGAATTA